TAGGTAAATACAGTATTTTAATTAAAGAATAAAAAATACAACCTAAAAGGGACTCCTCTTTAGATTCAGGAACTTGGGACTGCACTAAACAAAAGGGAACAAAAGGAAACAAGGGTATCTAGCCTTTAAACACAAAGATCCAAACTCTACAAACAAAAGAGCCTATACCAAGAAGGGCAACTAAAGGCCAAGCTAGAACAAATCAGGACCCTACTTTGCCATCGGCATTAACCACCCCTCCCCTGGTGTCTTGTCCGGCCACAATGTCTATGTCGTTGGCGGCTGCCTTTATAAAACCCGACATTGAGGCCGTGTTAGATTCGACATTTGTACCTTCCATGTTTGATTCAGAATCTGCCTCTGTCCCTTTTCCAATCTCTATATACAAGTGCTTAGGCACTGTCTCATTCAAAGCCCTCATTTCCTCAAATCTCCTCAGGTACTGAAGCTAAACACTGAAAGGTATTACAATTCTATTAGCTTGCCGCCTGCCACCCGCCCTTTCTTAGTCTTAACTTCCACCATTAGCGGGGGATTGGATTGGAATTCAGTTCCACTCTGAATTCAACCTCCAGCTTCCCTTTGCCCTTCTGATGCACTGTTTGAAAGCCATCATTTTCACCCCCCACAATCAGTACTTTTCTCCCTCTAGTATCCTGTAGCTCGACCTTAGGTTGTTTCGGACACAACGCTTCCCCATGCCCAAAGACACGACAGTACGCACAATGGAAAGGTCGCCATTGATACTCCACTCGAACAACCATCATCTTGGAATCCCGATTCACCTCACTAGGCATCATAATTGTCGTCAATTCCGGCAATTTCAGGCTAGCATCCACTTCCACAAGAACTCGTGCAAATCCAATACGCCCTGTACCAACTCGCCATGTGTCTTCTGCAATTTTATCCATACCTAAGGGTTTGCCCACACAACTAGCAATATAGCTTAACCCTTCTGGACTCCATAGTTCTAACGGGACATCAGAAACCTTGACCCACGGGGGAATAAGTTGCGGTGATTTTTGCTTAACTCCATTTCCAGTTGTCATTTTTGTAGTAGAATGGGCCTATTTTGGAATAACTATGAACCATCCTCTAAGCACTGTATCATGTTTGCCTCCTCCTCAAATTTGAAGAAAAATCAACTTTCAACTTTCATCATTCATCATGATTTCCTTAATTCTGTATTTCTGCCATAATTTCAAAGTCAGGAACTGAACTGAGCGGATTGGGTTTTTTTTTTTTTTTTTTTTCAATAAACCACCCCATCAGGCAAGTCTCCCACCCTTTTGATTAGCTTGAATTTAGAACATTAATATACTAACAGAAATACTACATTAACAACTATTTCTCACAATCTTAATATAACAGCTCGCAATTGGTTGATTCCTAATTAATTAATTAATAGGACCCATAAGGGATTTATGTGAGTTCTGTTATGAACTGACCAATTACAAACTGTCACGTTAAAGTTGTCATGTCAAGATTGTGGGAGAAAGTTTATGAAAGAGGATTATTATTGTAGTATTATTCTTATATTAATATTGAGCATAATGTTAACATCAAGAACTTTTGTTTTAAATATTAAATTCAAGCAAGATAGTGATAAAGGGATCTCTCAATCAATTGAAAGATTCCTCCATAATCCTTCAATTTGTCATATTCTCTATCATTTTCATATAAATCTACCAATTTCTTCTCATAAATACTCCCTGTTACTTTTGTCGCATATTATACGCCTTTCTTTTGTATGTTTATAAATATTTAAGTTATTATTAGCTTTTAGGGAAAAATTTTAAACAAACAATTTCAGCAAAATCAATATTTGTGCTTGAGTTTTGAAAGAGGCCTGGTGTTGTCTTTGGGCCTAGGCCTTTTTTTCTATTTCGAAATTATAGAAGTATGATGTTCACAAATTTCAAAATTATACAAATATGATATAAAAATCCTTTAAGTAATTATTTTACCTCATACTTATCAAATTTGAACTACCATTTTTTTTAATATAAATAAAAAGTTAATAACAACCACTCCAACGTACGATAAAATAACAAATATTTCATGAGGTTTATGAAATAAAAATTTCTGCCGATATTGAATTATTAGTAAAATTATTAAAATCTGTACTATTATAAGTTTATAAATATTATCAAATCATCATCCTACCGTTTATTTTGATATTTAAAATTTAATGATACATAAATTTCTATTTTTTTTTTCAAAATCTATAAATTTTTTTATTATTATTTTATCATATACCTAAAAGGGATTATGTCATTAGCCTATAAATTTAGGAAAATATTACACACACAACTTCTTTTTTCAAAATTTCTCTAACAATCCCAACATGACAGTTTATTATTAATTAGCCTGCAAATGGGCAGACAAGATCTATTTTAACAGACATAACCCATTTTACGAATTAACTAATGACAAACTACCACGTCAAGATTGTGAGAGAAAATTTATAAAAATAAATTATCAATGTAACATTACTCGTAAATTTAACTATCTAAACCTAACTTTTCGGTGACTTGTTAAAATTTGTATAAAACGGGCACATATTTTTATAAACCTATATCTTTATTTATAAAATAGAATTAGAAACGAGGTGTAATTCACTATTATTACTTTATTTTATTTCATTATTTTATCTTAAAAACTCAAAAAAATATTTATTTTAATATTCTTAAAATATAATTATATTTTATTTAACTCTTAAAATATTAATAATTATCTTTCAATTCAATAAAAAAATTATCAAAATAGGATAACAAACGATGAATCTATTTTTTTATTTTCTTATAGAAAGATGAGCCTAAAAATAATCAAATCACGACAAAATCCCAAAGTCAACAACTCATGTCGGAGTCACGTGCGTAGAATAAATGAAATATGAAACCGTCCGCATTAAAATGTGGTGGATAGGCAGTTCATCTCAAGACGTGAGAGCCTTTAATTATTCGGGGCCCGCATGATTGGATCACCAGTCGACACATCACATGATCTTGAAAATTCCTTGATTTCATACTTTATCTTTTTTTCATTATTTTACAAGTCAACTATATTATTCAAAAATTATTTTTTTTATTAATAGCAACAAATATATTACAAAACATTTTAATTTATTTTCAAGATAGTCAACAATAATTTATTTATTTTATTATTTTCACAATTCTGCTTTGACATTTATCATATATCATTATTTTCATGATCGGTCATTTCCTCAGCAGAATTTTTGGATGGATCATTGATTAATTTATTATTTTTGTTATGCAAAAATATTTTTAAAAACAAATATGATGTACATTTTCAAGGCTTTAAAATATAAAATGAGTTCTTTATTTTAATTTTTATTAATCTTATGACATGATAGAACTTTAAATTATGTGGAAAAAAATTAATGCGCACGATCTTAATTTTAAACTCTAGAGTCTAGATTGATTTTGGATCTAACGGCTGAAAATCCGTTGGATGGTGGCGAATCATTGCTTTGACCCCATGCATGGAAGAATGTCACTTGTAGCGTGATACTTGGAGGAACCAGTACTATGTACCTCCTACGGACAAAAGGACAGGTGCACATGGGTTTAAGGGCATCCACGTGTCATGNTTATGACATGATAGAACTTTAAATTATGTGGAAAAAAATTAATGCGCACGATCTTAATTTTAAACTCTAGAGTCTAGATTGATTTTGGATCTAACGGCTGAAAATCCGTTGGATGGTGGCGAATCATTGCTTTGACCCCATGCATGGAAGAATGTCACTTGTAGCGTGATACTTGGAGGAACCAGTACTATGTACCTCCTACGGACAAAAGGACAGGTGCACATGGGTTTAAGGGCATCCACGTGTCATGCAAAATAAAAAAAAATATATATAAAACGAAATGATATATTCTTTGAAGAGAAAAATCATTAGTTGGCATATAGTTTTAATGTGTGTCACATTAATTAAGTTTTCGGCATGGAATGTGAAATTTATTTAACATAAATAATATGTGTGATTGGAAAATAAGTTAAATCAGTACATGAATCAGTTATTTATTAAAATAAAATACCAAAACACATTTTAAAAATCATAAATATTTTTTCATTAATTTTAATAGATTTTTTTCTAACTGTGAGTCGAAATTTTGAATGGACATTCACATTGCTTTTTTAAAATGAAGTCATTGATAAAAGTATTATTAATCAATCAAAATTAATATTTAATCTATATCTAATCTCCTCACATCCGTTTCCCTTAATTATTACTTATACCAAACTATTTATATTTATGATGGTTTGACATTTTAATCTCATTTATACATTTTCCTATTATAATAATGACCTATTAATTAATCTAGGTAGTTGGTTAGAGTAATTAATACTCTATCATGATCAGTATTAATGAAGCCAAAGCTATAATTAAATTAACTAATGTTAAAGTGGAGGCTAATCTCTTCTATAATTATTAAATCTTGTTTATAATTATAGAACAGAAGAAAAAATTAATTGTAAACTAAAGTTAAAAAATCGAACCTTTTTAACTTTTGTTATAATAACAAAAATGATAAACAATCAATGAATCGTTAAAATTAATACTATTATGAATTTTAAATTATTTTTTTACCATTTATTTTAATATCGGTAAAAGGATTTTGTTATTTTAAAAATTTGAAATAAAATTTTGATTTAATCAAATTTTTTAGGGTTAATGATTAATTCTATAAATTATAATAAAATTAGAGTATAGTGAGCTATTTTTAAAGTTTTAAATAAAAATAAGATTTAGAAAAATATTCAAATTGAGTCATATGCTCTTTGGACTCATTTATTTTATGCACACAAAAAATGTTTCCAAACAATCAATTACCGATACAGCCGTAATCAGAGCCGTCAGATCATGAAAATAGTCAACAGAATCATCCATCAAGACCGTATAAAAACACAAGCAGAATAATAAAATGAAACCACAAGTACCCGAAAAAAGAAAGCTAACAGTTATTTACATATACAATTCACATAAAAAATGCAACCTAAATCTATCTGTTGCAGAAAGAAAAAAAAAAACAGAACAAACAGTGGAGGTTAATGTGTTTCTGTATGTAGTTGTTGCTTTGCCGACTTCGATCAATCCTAAAAAGCGAGTTTTCAAGTTCAGCAGGATACCAAAACGTGTTTTTTTTCAACTCAAAGGCTTAACCCACTTCTTGTCTTGTCTGTTTTTGTAGTTTTCTTTCTTTCTTTCTTTCTTTTTTTTTCCAGTTTGAAAAACTTGAAAGCTACTAAAATACATTTTTAATTAATCAACTCTGTAAAACCTGCGCAAACAAGGTCTTTCTCCGTGCCCTTTATCAAGATTCAAGAAAAAAAGGTTTGTTTTCTTTTAAAGTTTCGGTCTTTTGATCAGTTTTGGTTCGTTTGATTGAAGATTTTATATGGGGTTTAAGGGTTTAGATTGATTGAGTTATGATCCGAGCTTGTTTTTGTGATCTGGGTATTGTTTGTGGTTTTTAAAGTAGTGATCTTTAAGTTGTGTTTTTACTTTGGGGAAGATTAGTGCTGTGTATTTGCTGTAAATCTGCTGGGGAAATGTGGGGTTTGATCAGATTTGTTCTCAGATTTGGCATTGTAAGGCTAGTGGTTGTGTCTTTATCAATGGATTTATATAAAGCCACCTGTTAGCTCATTGTACAATATATTAATATTTAAGTAATTGCTTATGCTTGTTTGATTCGTTTGTTGGTCCCTTGTCGATTTTCCTAATGCATCTTTTCTGTTCTTTTATGGAATATTATATACCATATATCTCTCTATACCCGCCCACAACTAGACAAACTAATATTTAAATATGCATTTTATATTATAGTATATTTGTGTTTAGTTTTAAAAGTATTCTCCTGTTTTGATTTCTAGACTGCAGCTTGATGTTTTGCAAGCTTCAGTTTCTTTGTTTTGGGGGAAATCATATGATTGGATTTGGTTGAATATTCTAATTTTTCTTGTTGAATGTTGATTTAACAGATATATTTTTTGAAGATCAGAGTTTGTAGCATTTAAGAAGTTTGTGATCTGAGTGCTGAGGGTATAGGTGAAGATCTTGTGGTGTTTGATCCAGTAGAAGGTTTTCTGAGTTGCTAATTGAGGAAAATTGGGATATTAGAATTGTGGATTGAAGGGCCGATAAAGTTGTTTGATGGGATCTCTAAACATGGAGAAGAAGTGGGTATTCCCACTGGTGATAAGCTCTCTTGTGTGTATATTTCTTATTGCAACTTCCTTCAACATGGGTCTAATCTCTTCGTTACACACGATCAATGCTATCTTCTCGATTTTCCCCTCTCAATTCTCAGCAAACCATACTGATCCAACATATGCCGAAATGAAGGTTAAACAGGCTCCACCGCCTCCTTCTGGCCCGACAATTCCTCGATTTGCTTATTTGGTTTCTGGGTCAAAGGGTGATCTGGAAAAGCTTTGGAGAACTCTTCAGGCGCTATATCATCCAAGGAACCAATATGTTGTTCATTTGGACCTTGAAGCCTCAATCGAGGAAAGATTGGAGCTTGCATCGCGAGTGGAGAAAGATCCCATGTTTTCAAAGGTTGGGAATGTCCACATGAACATCAAGGCTAATATGGTTACTTATAGAGGACCAACTATGGTTGCTAATACGCTTCATGCTTGTGCTATTCTTCTCAAGAAAAGTAAGGACTGGGATTGGTTTATTAATCTTAGTGCTTCAGATTATCCTCTTGTGACTCAAGACGGTAAATCTCGTTTACTCAACTTGTAGACTTATATTATCTTATAATTATGCTTTATATTTTTGGAAGGAGAATTTCAAGTTCTGCAATGAACAGACATTTATTAATTAGCTTTAATTTGCAGATCTTCTTTTCACATTTTCAACTTTAAACCGGAAACTTAATTTCATTGAGCACACGAGCAGGCTTGGTTGGAAAGAGTAAGCTCTTTGTTCCCTCTGACTACATATTATCAGGACTTTTTATGTGTTAAATGATAATAAATTTTATTGTTATTCGGCAGGGATAAACGAGCAATGCCTTTGATGATTGACCCAGGACTTTACATGTCGACTAAGTCAGATATATTCTGGGTCACACCACGGAGAACTTTGCCGACAGCATTTAAATTATTTACTGGTTGGTATTTGATCTTTCACTTGTTTTGCTTGCTAGTCATGCTATTAAAATTGTGCACCTATGTTTCTGTTCTTACAATAGGAAACTATCAATATTGTTTAAGGGGGGGAAAAATATGAAAAGAAATGAAGGAATCTGTATTCTTCCCGTTCGGGCATGTTGGGGTTAACTAAGATAGACCTCTGCGAACAATTCAAATTTTGAATTCATATTCTTTCCGTTTGTGGGTTGAGGTTTGACTAAGTTAACCATTTATAAATAATTCAAGCTGAATTTTGGAAGTACTTTTCATTGGCTTAATTAGGTGACGTTTACTGGCTTCTGACATATGCAATTTCTTTTAGAAATTAGAATTTGAAGCTGTATATAGATGTAAGTAAGGAGTTTTATTTTTAACACCAAGGCAACTTTTCTAATATTTCCTATTAGGCTTGTGACATATGAAAATAAATGGGTTAACTTTTAAGGATTAACCCTCTATATGTTAAACTGTAGGTTAATCGGCACACAGATTGGCTGAATCTGTTTTTGTAAATTTACTAACTTCATTCAATTAGACACGCAGTGTTTGCAAAAAGGGTGTCGTCTTGCACCTATCGCTTTTAAAAAAATGGAAATTCTTAATTTTGGATTTGGTTAGATTTCAATCACTACCAAATTTGAGTTAATGAGCTAAGGTTCATTTGTAGAAGTTAAATAACCAAAATATGGCGAGGTATAAGGTATCTTTCATTTAAGATTATTATTTTTGTACTGTATACTTAGTTTTGAACTTTGGGTTGCAATTACGTAGTGCCTACCACTATTACTGGAAAGAAATGCTCTGTATGCATGTTGCAAAAGGCTGTATCTCTTATGCTAATCTAAATCCTTATTTGTGAACTTTTGGTGTTCTGCTATTAAAACATTTGGTTGTGTTGCAGGGTCGGCATGGATGGTTCTTTCTCGTTCATTCATAGAATATTGCATTTGGGGTTGGGATAATCTCCCAAGAACTTTGCTCATGTACTACACAAACTTTGTCTCTTCTCCTGAATCCTATTTTCACACTGTCATCTGCAACGTCCCAGAATTTGCTGATACTGTTGTCAATCATGACTTGCACTACATTTCTTGGGACAATCCCCCAAGACAACACCCACACGTTCTCTCACTTAACGACACTGATAAGATGATTGCAAGCAATGCTGCTTTTGCCCGGAAATTCAAACAAGGTACTCGTGTCTTGTACAAGATTGACAAAGAGTTACTTGGTCGGAAGAATGGGACCTTCACCCCTGGTGCTTGGTGCTCTGGTGACTCCACTTGTTCAAAGCTTGGAGACCCAAACAAGATCAAACCGGGTCCTGGAGCTGAAAGACTTCGCACCTTAATTACTAGGCTTGTAACGGAAGCTAAACACGGTCAGAACCAGTGTAAGTAGATCTCATGACAGTTTGTTGCAGACAGAAAGATTACTACCCAGAATCTGGCCAACGGCTTTGAAAGTCATAAAGGGAAGAATTGTTGATGGTGAAGTTACATTTTCGCCTCATTTTTGTTAGAGTCTGAGTATGTTAGTACATCAGAAAAAAATGTACCCAAAAGAATTGAGATGGATGGGATCAAATACTGTTCCTGATCATCCATTCTTTTGTTAGGCCGTCCACGATTATACAACTCGGAAAGCTTTCCGCAGTTATTTTTTCCCACGTCTCATTGTTAATAAATTTTTTTCACTCCCAAATAATTAGATATAGTACGGATTTCAACTTGGAAACTATTTCTGTTGTGTGACAGTTCAAGTAATGCAGCCTGGTACTAATAAGATCAACATCTTCTTGTAAAGTCACTAGGATGGTGCCAATTTATTATCTCAAATCAATGCAAAGTTGTTTCTGAAAATCTGAACTTACAAAGTTTCCAGGCATGTTAGGCCTCGAAGAGGAGTTATAATAAATAATAATTGCCAAAGTCTGCAGATTCATGAGTATGGAAGGGACTTGATTTGATCATGTCCTCATTTGCTTTGCATTATTGATGATAACAAAGAGGATGGTTAGTGGTTGGATTATGAAAACTAGAAGCATTGAAAATATTTTTCTTCACATGGTCAGAATCAAGGGCAACATTTTTCTATTGAATGTGCAAAACATGGCAGAGAATACAAAACCATACTCTTTGGAGTTATCAATCCAATTGGTTATCTTATTCTAGTACAAAAGTTGACCAAATCAAAGCCATCACAGCTTTGTATTATTGGGAAAAGTGATGAGTAAAGCTTGGAAAAGTCTTGTATATCTTTAAGGAGCAAAACTGAATTTCACTATCAAATTGATGAATTGGAAATAAATAGTTCTTGTATGTGGTACCCTTTTCTTCAATTTCAACAATTCTGGTATTAGGTATATGCATTCATTATTCTAAAGCACTGCTTGAGTGCCTATATGTGTTCATTTTTCATGCTAGAGTTACTCAACAGTCAACTCTCCCAAAGTCAACAACGCATGTCGGAGTCACGTGCGTAGAATAAATGAAATATGAAACCGGCCACATTAAGGGGTGTTTTGCTGAGCTTATGAAAATTAGCTATAGCAACAATTGCTTATAAGCTAATTAACTTATAAGCATTTAAAATTTAAGCAATTACGTGTTTGGTTAAAGTTACTTATAGGACTGATAAGTAATTGACGTGTTTTGGTAAAATGTGGCTTATAAGTACTTTTATTATAAAACTAAAGTTACTACATTAATAAGGACATACTATGAAATTTTAAAATTAACAAGGATAATGTGGTAATATACTTGGTCAAACTAGCTTATAAGCAAAGTGCTAAACAAAAAAATAAGTACCTCCCCCCCAACTTATTTTTTTTAGCTTATAAGCTCAACTTATAAGCTCAAAAAATTATAAACAAACAGGTCACTTAATTTTAGAGCTTATAAGCAAGTTTGACCAACTTATAAGCTTGACAAACACCCCCTAAAATGTATGGATAGGCAGTTCATGTCAACTCTCAAGACGTGAGAGTCTTAATTATTGCGGGGCCCCCATGATTGGATTACAAGTCGACCATCACATGATGTTGAAAAATCCTTGGTTTCATACTTTATCTTTCTTTCATTATTTACAAGTCAACTATATATTCAAAAATGATTTTTTTTTTATTATAATAGCAACAATAGGATTTCATAAATGAATATATATTACAAAACATTTAATTTATTTTCAAGATAGTCAACCATAATTTATTTATTTTATTATTTTTACAATTCTACTTTGATATTATCATATATCATTATTTTCATGATCGGTCATTTCCACACATAATTTTTGATCGATCATTGATTAATTTATTATTTTTGTTATGCAGATGACAGATCACAAAAAAAAAAAAAATATATAATATAATAATATGCTCCGTTGAGAGTCGAACTCAAGTGCTTACTAAACGGGTGCTCTCAACCCTGAGCTACGAGAGCTTCTTGATCCAATTTTTAATTATAATATTTTCCACAATAGTTAGCTAGAAAGCTCTCATATCTATTTAATAGTGATAAATTAAACAATTTCAGATTAATAATTTTATACCATTCAAAGAATAAATTTTTACACCCATTTTCCTTATTGCACAATCTTATTTTTACATGTATAAAAAAGGTTTTTAGAAAAAAAATAACAACAGTGTACTCAAGTTTGCTCCTAATTTTCCTTTCAACATAAAATAATATAATTATTGCTTGAAAACAAAGTTTAAAATACAGGTTTAGCATGTATATAACACTACTCTTCGATTCCCATTTGAGTATTGCGATTTAAATGGGGTCTATGACAGTGAGTGTTGAATTAGTTTCTATTGAAGATTAGCTGAGATGCGTGAAGGCTTTAAAATATAATGAGTTCTTTATTTTAATTTTTATTATCTTATGACATGATAGAACTTTAAATTAGTGGAAAAAATTAATGCGCACGATCTTAATTTTACTCTAGAATCTCGATTGATTTTGGATCCAACGGCTGAAAATTCGTTGGATGGTGGCGATCATTGCTTTGACCCCATGCATGGAAGAATGTCACTTGTCGCGTGATACTGGAGGAACCAGTATTATGTACCTCCTACGGACAAAGGACAGGTGCACATGGGTTTAAGGGCTCCACGTGTTCATACAATAATTATATATATATATTCTTTGAAAGAAAAATCATTAGTTGGCATATAGTTTTAATGTGTGTCACATTAATTGTTTTCGGCATGGAATGTGAAATTTATTTAACATAATAATATGTGTGATGGAAAATAAGTTAAATCAGTACATAATGAATAGTTATTTATTAAAATAAAATACCAAACACATTTTAAAAATCATAAATATTTTTTCATTAATTTTAATAGATTTTTTTCTAACTGTGAGTCGAAATTTTGAATGGACATTCACATTGCTTTTTAAAATGAATTCATTATAAAAGTATTATTAATCAATCAAAATTATATTTATCTATATCAATCTCCTCACATCCGTTTCCCTTAATTATTACTTATACCAATCTATTATATTTATGATGGTTTGACATTTTAACTCTCATTTTATCCTATTATAATAATGACCTTTATTACTAGTTAGTTGTTAGAGTAATAAACTCTATCATGATCAGTATTAAGAAGCCAAAGCTATAATTAAATTAACTAATGTTAAGTAGGCTAATCTCTTCTTAATTATAAATCTTGTTTATAATTATAGAACAGAAGAAAAATTAATTGTAAACTAAAGTTAAAAAATCGAACCTTTTAACTTTTGTTATAAACAAAAAATGATAAACAATCAATGAATCGTTAAATAAACTATTATGAATTTTAAATTATTTTTTTACCATTTATTTTAATATCGGTAAAGGATTTTTTATTTTAAAATGCAAATATTTGATTTAATCAAATTTTAGGGTTAATGATTAATTCTATAAATTATAATGAATAGTTAGTGAGCTATTTTTAAAGTTTTGAATAAAAAATAGATTTAGAAAAATATTCAAATTGAGTCATATGCTCTTTGGACTCATTTATTTATGCACCAAAAAATGTTTCCAAACATTCAATACCGATACAGCCGTAATCAAGCCGTCAGATCATGAAAATAGTCAACAGAATCATCCATCAAGACCGATAAAAACACAAGCAGAATAATAAAATGAAACCACAAGTACCCAAAAAGAAAGCTAACAGTTTTTACATATACAATTCACATAAAAATGCACCCTAAATCTATCTGTTGCAGAAGAAAAAAAAAACAAACAAACAGTGGAGGTTAATGTGTTTCTGTATGTAGTTGTTGCTTTGCCGACTTCGATCAATCCTAAAAAGCGAGTTTTCAAGTTCAGCAGGATACCAAAACGTGTTTTTTTTTCAACTCAAAGGCTTAACCCACTTCTTGTCTGTCTGTTTTTGTAGTTTTCTTTCTTTCTTTCTTTCTTTTTTTTTCCAGTTTGAAAAACTTGAAAGCTACTAAAATAACTTTTTAATTAATCAACTCTGTAAAACCTGCGCAAACAAGGTCTTTCTCCGTCCCTTTGCGTCTAGATTCAAGAAAAAAGGTTGTTTTCTTTAAAGTTTCGGTCTTTTATCAGTTTTGGTTCGTTTGATTGAAGATTTTATGTGGGGTTTAAGGTTTAGATTGATTGAGTTATGAGCTTGTTTTTGTGATCTGGGTATTGTTTGTGGTTTTTAAAGTAGTGATCTTTAAGTTGTGTTTTTACTTTGGGGAGATTAGTGCTGTGTATTTGCTGTAAATCTGCTGGGGAAATGTGGGGTTTGATCAGATTTGTTCTCAGATTTGCATTGTAAGGCTAGTGTTTGTGTCTTTATCAATGGATTTATATAAACCACCTGTAGTCTCATTGTACAATATATTAATATTTAAGTAATTGTTTATGCTTGTTTGATTCGTTTGTTGGTCCCTTGTCGATTTTCTAATGCATCTTTTCTGTTCTTTATGGAATATTATTACCTATATCTCTCTATACCCGCCCACAACTATACAAACTAATATTAAATATCATTTTATATTATAGTAATTTGTGTTTAGTTTTAAAAGTATTCTCCTGTTTGATTCTAGACTGCAGCTTGATGTTTTGCAAGCTTCAGTTTCTTTGTTTTGGGGGAAATCATATGATTGGATTTGGTGAATATTCTAATTTTTCTTGTTGAATGTTGATTTAACAGATATATTTTTTGAAGATCAGAGTTTGTAGCATTTAAGAAGTTTGTGATCTGAGGCTGGGTATAGGTGAAGATCTTGTGGGTTTGATCCAGTAGAAGGTTTTCTGAGTTGCTAATTGAGGAAAATTGGGTATTAGAATTGTGGATTGAAGGGCCGATAAAGTTGTTTGATGGGATCTCTAAACATGGAGAAGAAGTGGGTATTCCCCTGGTGATAAGCTCTCTTGTGGTATATTTCTTATGCAACTTCCTTCACATGGGTCTAACTCTTCGTTCCACACGATCAATGCTATCTTCTCGATTTTCCCCTCCATTCTCAGCAAACCATACTGATCCAACATATGCCAAATGAAGGTTAAACAGGCTCCACCGCCTCCTTCTGGCCCACAATTCCTCGATTTGCTTATTTGGTTTCTGGGTCAAAGGGTGATCTGGAAAAGCTTTGGAGAACTCTTCAGGCGCTATATCATCCGGAACCAATATGTTTTCATTTGGACCTTGAAGCCTCAATCGAGGAAAGATTGGAGCTTGCATCGCGAGTGGAGAAAGATCCCTGTTTTCAAAGGTTGGGAATGTCCACATAACATCAAGGCTAATATGGTTACTTATAGAGGACCAACTA